GAGTTCTGTTCTCATGCAAACAAATTTTTCTTCTCTCGATTATAAATTGTTTAGCTCCACACATGTGGTGAACATCGAGTTAAACTGATGAAAGGACTGAGTAGCCTGAATATCGATATGATTTGCATATTTCTGCCTCATACCCGTGAACCACTACTTCATGCTGAATGTACTGTAACCTAAGGAGATGGAGTCTGTTGGCTGCAGGTTATCCTTCATTCTCAGTGAATAACAGTGAGCTGTATTTTCTTTAACTTTCCCCCCTTATGGGCCTAGAACTTTCTACTTTGCCTCCAGACACCTGATAATCAATCATGTTGATAAACCTCTCCTTTGGTCAACCCATCTTCCTTCACTTTAGGCTAGTCCCCAGTCCCTAAACCGCCCTCTCCAACCAGAAGCTCAGGCTGTCTACGAGCTGGGCTCCATCAGAGCTCCAGGAGATGGTCCCCAGAGCTGCCATGATCAAGAAACAGAACAAACCGCCAAGTACTGAGTTTATGTTGAGTCAAGTCTGATCATGCTGTCTTTCTCTTATTAATTTATCAATCCCTTTTAGCTTTAAATCAGTTTCCTAGAAACATTTTTGTTGTTATTTTGAAACAGGGTTTCTCTATGTTCTCTGACTGTCTTAGTACTTGCTATGTACATTAGGCTGGCCTCAAACTCACAGAGCCCTGCCTGCCTCTGCCTTCAGTTCTGAGAGTAAAAGTGCTAGTTGGCCTCAGAAACATTTTAATACAATTGTATCTCTCCTAATTCTACATATTTGTCTTGTGTTTTGTGTTTATCTTAAGGAATGAAAGCTGAGTATGATGATGGTTATTAAAGGCTAGCAGGCCGCTGTGGAGATGGACTCCTTCTCTGGGCTTGATGCACAGATGTTCCCTCTGGGCTCGCAAAGATGGATATGTTGCCATGTGTGTTTTCTACCAGAAAAAAAATGTCTCTTCTAGAAAAAAAAGTGAGATCATCTAAGAGGAGTGAGCAGACATGGGCAGCAGACAGTGTCCTGCTGGTGTGGCTCCTCCTGTAGGCTCTGCTGCCTGTTCTCACTCTTCTGCCTCCCCAACTTAAAGATGACTCACAAAAGCACGAACCAACTCTCTCCCATTCGCAGCGAGTCCTAACTAGCACAAAGCACTGCACAGCTACTGGCCTGAATCGGTGTGCCTGAAAACTTCCTGAAGGGCATCAGATTCATGAAGGGGCTATAAATCCATAAAATCTCAGCAAAGTTCATGAGAGTCAAAATAACCAAAAAAAAAAAAAAAAAAAAAAGCTCTGTGTGGTGCAATTTGCTTAGCATCTTCAGCTCCAGCCTAGGAATACCACCCACGCACACCTGAGGATGACTTTGAGTCTCTCTTTACCTGGTTCTTTTACCCTAGATTTGATGCCTTCCTAAAAGTTTTAAATCCCAGAGGAACTTGGGGTTTTCATTGGATTTTTTTCTTTGCTCATTTCTTCACATGCTAGCCTATTTGTGTATGTGTGAAACTGTTAGCACAGTTCTCAAGACAGTCTAAATTAGGAGGCATTTTTTATTTTTTGTTTATGAAATGTTAAGGAAGATGAGCATCTAATAAAAAATCAGTATCTTTATCCTATCAAAACTTTAGAAAATATCTTCTTTATATCCTTAGAAATAACTTGAAAGAAATAATATTAGGTATTAAAATCCAGTTTGAAGCATGACAGAGTGACACAGTTTGTTGTCCTACCATACGGAAAATGGAGACAGGAAGGATGGTTTGAGACTGGCTGGTCTGTACTATGCGGTGAGACAAATCTCCATCATTTCTTTCCTATTTCTCAGATAGCTTTAAAATTACTTACAAACAGACATCTATGCTAAGAGGCCAAGCTATGAAATAGGGAGAATTATTATTGAGGACAAATTAAAACTGGACTCTGTGTGAGTGAGAAAATAGTAAAATATATGAAACCATCTTGTGATGTTAGCTGTCAAGCAGAAAAATAATTGAACTTGATGAAAAGCAAAATAAAGTGTTCCCAATACTATGCATGCAATATCTTTACCTCAGGAAAAGCTAAAGCAATTTCAGAGAGCTATTTTTGTCTAGAAAGTAATTTATTGCTTGGGTAAGCATGACACACAGGGTTTTGTGAGCCCTGCTCACCTGGCTGGAGCAATATCATATCATATCATATCATATCATATCATATCAGCCTTTGTAGTTTGGACTCATTGTACTGACTGCTCTAAAAAGAATTCTTTGAATCTCCCTTGGAATATAATGTATACAATAGTATAATGCAGTCCTTTCACTGAAAGTAAATTTGGTTTGAAATTTAAGATTTTTAGAACTAAAACACTACCCTCCTCAGACCCAAGAGACATCATTATAAATATCCTAAAGTGAGTCAGCTATGCTTAAGGTTTACACATGAATACAACTAGACTAACATACCAGACTAATGAACAAGGCTCCTGATAAGCGTGTAGAAGCTAAAACTAGGAAATTAACTGAACCATTTTATGAAGAAACTTACTACTTTCAATGTATATGATTAGTTTAAATTTAATGTTGCCTCTCAGAGCTCACATAAGCCATTAAGTTGCCATCTGACAACCATTAACTGTCACAAAGGAAGAGATTCTATCCCTGGGCCTAAGACTGTAGTTTGTACATATGGGTGACTGGAGTTGTCTGACTTTTAAGGCTTGCTTCACTTCCTGAAGTACACTTGTCTTCATCTTTCTCTCTTTCTCTGTTAGCTACCCTGACTTAAGTGTGTGCAGGGTTCGGTTAATAAAAACTGAAACCACATTGAGACACAGATGAGAGACACACACAGAGAGAATAAGGTCAGTGGGTGTTGGCACAATAGATGAAGGAGTTTGTCCTTGAGCGTTCCTTACAATATCCAAATCTTCACTGTAGTTCCTCATGATAGATCTGGTAAACTAGGGAAAGTTGAACCCCAAGAAACAAGGGTTTAGAATAGCACTATGGAAGTCACTGTTTTTATTACCTACACACTGACTTGTTAGTTTCTTCTATCAGATACCTTACTGTGATATCAGTATTGTCATAAAATAGACAATGAATGTAAAACTGAGCTTAGGACTGTAGGAGTCAGAGGGAAGATAGTACACCAGGAGAATATGACTCACCCAATCAACTAAGTAGAGCTCACATGGTCGCAAAGAGTCTGAAGCAGCAAACACGGGGCCTGCATGAGTCTGCACCAGATCCTCTTACGTTATGGCTGTTATCTTTCTGTTTTATGGGACTCCTAATGGAGAGAGCAGGTAGGTGTGTCTCTGACTCTTATACCTGCTCGTGAAACTCTTTTCCTCCTGTTGGGTTGCCCTGACCAGTCTTGACCTGAGGACTTTGGCCTTGTCAGTAAGTATCATGTTTCATCCTGCCTGGCTGTTGTCTCTTGGAGACCCACTCCTTTCTGAAGATGAAGCGGAGTAGGAGTGAATCTGGAAGAGGGGAAGTATCAGGAAACTAGGAGGAGTGGAGGGAGAGGAAACTGGTTGGGATATAAAAACAAAACAGAACAAAATTGAACTTGGCACCGGCTATGTCATTCTTCTCCGTGTCATGGAGTTTAAGAGACCAAATCATCAGCAGATCTATGTGGCAACTCCTTACCAATGACTTTATGGATACTAATGAGGCCACACACCCCACACACACACTCATGCATAGATAACCCAGCAAAGAGTATGTTGTCACCTTTGTACTGCCGGAGAGGAAATTATGAGTAAATCACACACACACACAGTTTGTTAGACTTAGTACAGTTGCCCTGAAAGTTTAGGGAAATATCAATAAAAAGGAGGTATAGCCCAGTCTAGTGGACACACCTTTAATCCCTGCATGGGTGGGAAGAGTTGACAGGGTCTCTGTGAGCTCAAGGCCAGCTTGGCCTACAGAGCATGTTCCCGGCCAGTCAGGAAAACAAAGACCCTGTCTCAAGGAAACACAAACAATAGCACGCCAACTGTTAGGAAGCTGATCTTCCTAATGTGGAGGAAGGTAAGATCTTCCCTGCTAGAAGCTTGCCTGCCCCTGTCACCTGGCAGAATGCACTCAGGCAGTACCCTGGTCAGCCCAGGGTTCCATGAGTACTAGTCAGAACGCAGGTGCAAAGGGCCCTTTAAAAGACAGACCCCGCCCACTTAGGCTCTTCTTGCTCTCTCCTCTCTTTCCACTCTCTTCTCTTTCCTATTCCTCTCTTTCCTGCTCTGCTGTCTTTCCCTCTCTCTTTCTGCTCTTTTTCCCGCTCTCTTTCCCTGGGGCAGACAGGAGGACAGGACTGACTCTCTCTGTCTCTCTCTGTCACTCTCTCTCTCTCTCTCTGTGTGTGTGTGTGTGTGTGTGTGTGTCTTTACCTCTTTCCTTCCTCCTCCCCTCCCCTGTCTAATAAACTTCTCACTTAAGCTCTGTCTGCCTGTCCTGTTTGTCCCTCCTCCTCGGTCACCCTCACCTGCCAAGAAATTCTCCAAGGTTCCTAGTGCTTTATTCATAGTGGTTTCCATGGTCATGGTGTCTCTTCACAGCAATAGAAACCCTAAGATACCACTCCAAGTGGGAGAACCTGAGTTTACTTCCTAGCACCCACATAAATAAAATCCGTCATTGTCATATGTGTTTGTAACCCACACACTAGGGAGTTGAGGCCCACATGTGCATGAGAGACCTTATCTCAAAAAGCAAGGTGGACAGATCCTGTGGAGTGACACTGAGGTTGATCACCAGCCTCTCACCCGCCACCCCCCCAAACGCATATGCCCACCCTACAAAAACATACACCCATATGTACATGAAAATGTACAGTCATATACACATTAAAAAATAAATCTAAATTCCTGCCCTGTCCCTCACCTTGAATCTATGTTTATAGCTGTAGGGATTAAGGCAAGAAATATGACTCATTTGGTATTTTCATAATGATTTTATGACCAGAGGACAATCAGCTATCTACAAAACAAGTCCCAATTAAAAAAATCTGAAAGCAAGAGTTTGGTATTTTTAATTAAATAATTTCCGTCTTAAATGTTCTAGACCTACTACAGTCTGACCTTGATGCACATACTCTTCTTAGTGTCTTTCATCATTTTGTATTTCTCATCTCCATTCATTGTTGAACATGACTGAAAGGAACTCAAATTTGAAGGTTAGCAGTTGTGTTTGAAAAGAAGAGGGTTTTCAACCTGAGATGTAGTAGAACTTTTTTCACCAGACAGACTCTTCAAAGACCAGTCTTTGGTTTCCTTTGTACTTCAGCTTGTATTAGTATAGCCTTACCAGCTCCTTCTGTTACTTGGTGTAAGGTATCTCCAGTGTTCATCTAAGAACAAGAAAGGTAGAAGGCTCAGAATAAGGAATGGAAAGAGAAAGCATGAACATGAATGCTTAGGACTAACTGTGGATGCTGCACCTCAGGAAACACCTCAAGGAAGATTTCAAGATCTTTTTTTTTCTAGCTTAGTGAGACATTTATTTACAAACAAAAAAGAGAAGTGCGCCAGGGTCTGTTGCAGGATTCCTGCTTGGGTCCTGTTCCTGCTTTAGCCCCCAAATAACACATGACACACTATATTAATTATGAAGCTGTTGGCCATTTGCTATGGTTTCTAATCAGCTAGCTCTGACTTAATCATTAACCCATAATCACCAATATATACTTTTATAAGGACTTATATTTCCAAGAATGCCAGACTTGTGTTCTCTCTTCCAGGAATCACATCTCAAAGACTCTCTTCACTATATTTCCCAGAATCCTGCTAGATTCCTAGTCCCACCTATCTTGCTTCCCTATTGGCCAACAGTGTTTTATTTACACCAATCAAACATATATACAGAGGGACTTCCCCCATAATCTCCTCTTTTCTGTCTAAATAAAAAGAAAGGTTTTAACTTTAATGTAGACAAATTATAACAGAACAGTTATCAAGCAAGAACTATAGCTACAATATTTTGTCCATTAACATTTAATAAGATTTAAAGAAAGTACTTAATTATATATCCTATCTGTGTGAGTCTAAAGTTTTATATGTACCTTATCTTTTATCATAACTAAGAAAAACTGTAACTATAACTATCTGTCTTCAACTCCATCAAAGACCACAGAAGGATAATATATAAACACTACCAGAGACATCTCACTACCTGGACAGTCACCCAAAGTTCCTCTGTAATGTTGGGGCATCCATCTTCAGCCCATAGGTCACAGTGTGGCTGGCAGACTTCTCAGCAAAGCAGGAAATTTTAAACTGTCCATCTGCATTGACAGTTTGTCATTTCTGTGTCCTGCAGAAAGTGTATCAGACTTTTCCATGAAGCAGGAACCCTGTAGGACTGTCCAAGTTCAGCTAGCTGAGAGTTCTACATCTGGATAGGCAGACATCAAGAAGAGAATAAGACACTGAGTATGACTTGAACATCTGAAACCTCAAAGCCCAACCCCATCGACACACTTACTCCAACAAGGACACACCTACTCCACCAAGGCCACACCCCCGAATAGAGCCACTCCCCATGGGCCTATTGGGGCCATTTTCTTTCAAACCACCACAGGTGGTCAGCACTTATCTCAATAAGTTTAAAATTTCACTTGGACATCTTAATTATTTAAAGCAGACAGTGACAATGAAAACAATTTTGAATTATTTAAAAAGCAAAGATGCTTGTTGGATGCAATTTTATAACATGAGTAAAATGGGAGTGAACTGTAGAGACACTCACCTTCAAGCAGATATGCTACTGATCACATACTAGTCACATCATAGCTACTACATTGAGCACCACTGCTCTGAAGGTTTGCAGGGATTTGCCCTTTGTTAAACTAAGCTTCTTGAGTTGAGATGCCTATCTTTGTATGCAGAGATCCTACACAAAATGCAACTCAATAAATATTTGTGCTGTTGCATTTACCTTTGAATATTAAGGAATTGTTCTCATGTGAAAATTTACCTTCAAATCACTTCTGAAGGTTTTTATAAAACGCGTATCTGGTCCACCAAACAGTCCGCACACAAGACTAGACTTTAAAACTTCCACAAATTAGAATCCCCGACACACACACCCCAGTTGCCACACTTGGGAGAGCAAGCCCTGCACCTTCCCAGACCAGCACAGTAGAGCCAAACCTGTTAGTGCAGGTGTGGGTGAGCATGCGAGAACTGTCTCATTACTCACCTGTCTTATGGTGGCATGGGCGGTGCAGGGCGGGGCATGGCGGGGCAGGGCAGGGACCCCCCCCCACCGCTGCCTGGGCCAGTTGGGAGAGCTGACCCTGTGGTGATGAGAGTGGGTAAGCTAAGCTCAAGCCCCAACCAACTGCAAAACTCTAGAGAGCAGGCCCTGCACCCCACCGGGGTAGCGAACAGATCCAACCCTGTCAGTGGAGATGTGGGAGAGCCACCCCAGAAATTATGAGCATGGAGCAGCTGTCTTTATTTCCCATCTGGTGGACCAACCCTACAGCTACCCAGGGCCAGACCTAGGGTTATGGCTTGGCCTGCCCTAACATCTGTCCACCCCATTTATGATCTTCTGGAGTACATGAAGGGACCTTGTAACACATAGTTTTCCCCACCATCCGCCTGGGCCCTGCGGAGCTGTCTGAACCCCCAAATAACACACAAGACACTATATTAATTATGAAGCTGTTGGCTATTTGTTATTGTATTTTATTGGCTATCTCTGACTTAATTATTGACCCGTAATCACCAATATACATTTTCATAAGGACTTATATTCCTGAGAATGCAGACTGGTGTCCCCTCTTCCCGGGACTCATATGGCGACAGTTCAATTCACTACATTTCCCAGAATCCCCCTAGACTCCTAGTCCCACCTATCTTGCTTCCTTATTGGCCAACAGTGCTTTATTGACATATACACAGGACTTCCCCATCAGGACCTGATCAGCAGAACCACAGCTGCAGGATCTCCATAACACAGGGCTCCAGTGGAATGCCCTGGAGGAGTCCTAGCAGGAGCCCAGCATTGGTTAACCAGAACAATGACTCTTTGCAATGAACACTTGCAAGCAGAGATGGATGGGCCAAAGAGTATACAGCATGACTTGTTGGGGACCACTGCACCTTCCCGATGACATTTTTAATTCTTCCCTGCCATCCACTTAAAATTTTTCTTATTTTATTTTCACTTTTTTTCTCTTGAATTTTGTTTTACTTTAAGGGGATGCAAGGGCAGAGGGCAAATGCAAAGGGATGGAGAATGAATGGGATCAAGATACATGATGTGACAACCATGAAGTAAATTTTATTAGTAAAAAGAATAGGGATGGAGAGATGACTCAGTTGTTGAGAACACTAGCTAGTCTTCCAGAGGTCCTGAGTTCAATTCCCGTTACCACATGATGGATCACAACCTTCTGTAATGAGATCTGATGCCTTCTTCTGGCCTGCAGGGATACATGCAGACAGAAAACTGTATACATAGTAAGTAAATAAATAAATTAAAAAATAATAAAAAGGAAGTTCTATAAATTGACAGATATTTCCATAATATGATGTGTATATATGTAGATAGAAAGACATCCTAGAAGCATTCTTGGCACTGTCAGGAACACAGTAAGGATGGCAGTTCAACCAGGATTAGAGTTTTTAGGTAATCCTACCAAAACAGAAAAACTAAGAAGTGTAAGAACGGGAAAAGAATGAAACTGTCTAGCTACAAACACTACGTTGGTAATCTAGAACCCAAGATAATACTAAGGCCAGTACAAAATTTAAAAATAAGAAAGTAGACATTAGATTAATCTAAAAACTAATAGCTTGTATAGATAGAAACAATGAGCACTTAAGTTGTATAACTTAAGAAATGAAATATTTAGAAATCTTAAGGGAAAAATATACTAAATTTACTTAAGGAAAAGGTTTAAAATAGTCTTATATTCAGAAAATAGACCTGAAATTGCTGAAAGACATTCTTTGTTTTGGAAAGATAAACTCAAAACAAAAAAGCACAAATTTCATTAAAGTTAATATGATTTTAATAAACATAATCTGAAATTATTGTTTGATGAAGACAAATTAATCATAAAATTCATCTGGAAAAATATAAGTATTTTAAATTAAGAAGATCTAATGAATTGAGGTTAGCCTTACATGATATAATTATACCATAAACTTCCATGATTAAAAAATGCACAGTGTGGATGCATGAACAGAGAGACCAGTAGACCAGAATGCCAAGTCCAGAAATAGGTCCAAGTACATATAGCATACAGGAGATGAAAACCATACCAACTTAATAAATTTAAGAAATGATGCATTTTAACAAAATATGTTTAAATTTTAGAATTTTAGAAAAAAGACAAAATTAGACTCCTACTTCATCCATACAAAAGAGAGATCCCTAAATACATCTGATATCTAAATGTGAAAAATCAAATTGCACAGAAACTCAAGGAAAACTTGACTAGCATTTATTTAAAACGTGAGTGTAAGTTAAACCTTTCTAATAAGACTTAAGATTTCTATTCATTAATAGAAAACATTTTTCTTTGTGGTCCTTATTGCTGAAGCTTTGTCCTAGTCTCACCAAACAGGAAAGTCCAGCAAAAGGTATCTCGGGGTTGACCCGTGAAGTCAACTACGGGACTATCTAGAGTGTCCACTAGGACTGGGCAAAGCTGTTCATATGAGTGCGGCCTACCTCAACCCTCACAGAGTTACTCATCACACTCCATCGGGATTCCACCCTTCCTTTCATATCTCATAGACCTCCAAAACTAGAGCCTGTAGCATGTTTTCCAGTACTAAGATGTCCCGTGTAGCGTTTCCTATCATCCTTTGGCCATAATGTTGTATGCTACTCCTACATTCCCCATACCATTAGTTATTGACTGAGGACCTGCTGTGCAATAAGCTAGAGTCTGGTGGTTACCAGATCAGTTTCTCCGGGTATTTGTACTTCTTTGTATATACTGTGTGTACCCTGATGTGATATGAGCCCATGCTTTGTTTGTTATCTCTACAGTTACTGTGAAACCTTGTGAGCCCACACCCCCGAGTCACACCCCTGCCTGAGTCACACCCCCGAGTCACACCCCCGAGTCACACCCCCGAGTCACACCCCGAGTCAGTCACACCCCCGAGTCAGTCACACCCCGAGTCAGTCACACCCCCGAGTCAGTCACACCCCCGAGTCACACCCCCGAGTCAGTCACACCCCCGAGTCAGTCACACCCCCGAGTCACACCCCTGCCTGAGTCACACCCCCGAGTCACACCCCCGAGTCACACCCCCGAGTCACACCCCGAGTCAGTCACACCCCCGAGTCAGTCACACCCCGAGTCACACCCCCGAGTCAGTCACACCCCCGAGTCACACCCCCGAGTCACACCCCCGAGTCACACCCCGAGTCAGTCACACCCCGAGTCAGTCACACCCCGAGTCACACCCCGAGTCAGTCACACCCCCGAGTCACACCCCCGAGTCAGTCACACCCCGAGTCACACCCCCGAGTCAGTCACACCCCGAGTCAGTCACACCCCGAGTCACACCCCTGCCTGAGTCACACCCCGAGTCACACCCCCGAGTCACACCCCCGAGTCACACCCCGAGTCAGTCACACCCCCGAGTCAGTCACACCCCGAGTCACACCCCCGAGTCAGTCACACCCCCGAGTCACACCCCCGAGTCAGTCACACCCCCGAGTCAGTCACACCCCCGAGTCACACCCCTGCCTGAGTCACACCCCCGAGTCACACCCCCGAGTCACACACCCGAGTCACACCCCTGCCTGAGTCACACCCCCGAGTCACACCCCCGAGTCACACCCCGAGTCACACCCCTGCCTGAGTCACACCCCCGAGTCACACCCCCGAGTCACACCCCCGAGTCACACCCCTGCCTGAGTCACACCCCTGCCTGAGTCACACCCCCGAGTCACACCCCGAGTCACACCCCCGAGTCACAACCCCGAGTCACACCCCGAGTCACACCCCGAGTCACACCCCTGCCTGAGTCACACCCCTGCCTGAGTCACACCCCCGAGTCACACCCCCGAGTCACACCCCGAGTCACACCCCGAGTCACACCCCCGAGTCACACCCCCGAGTCACACCCCGAGTCACACCCCCGAGTCACACCCCGAGTCACACCCCGAGTCACACCCCGAGTCAGTCACACCCCGAGTCAGTTACACCCCGAGTCACACCCCGAGTCAGTCACACCCCGAGTCACACCCCGAGTCA